AACCACCACTACAGCTGCCCCAACCACCACCACAGCTGCCCCAACCACCACTACAGCTGCCCCAACCACCACTACAGCTGGCCCAACCACAGCTGCCCCAACCACCACTACAGCTGCCCCAACCACCACTACAGCTGCCCCAACCACCACTACAGCTGCCCCAACTACCACAGCTGCCCCAACCACCACTACAGCTGCCTTAACCACCACAGCTGCCCCAATAACTACCACAGTTGCCCCAAACACCACCACAGCTGCTCCCACCACACAGTCTTACCGATCATCTATTGGTCCTCTCAGCACCAACTGAAGATGAGCTGAATGATCATTTTCCTATTTGCTTTGTCTCTGAAGGCAGAGATGGGTGAGTTTCCAAAAGACAGTGAGCCAGTTAGATATTTCACATGTAGCCGTTTAATAAAGTAAATCAATGGATAGATTTTTTTGAGTGATTAAGTAGTTGATACAGTGTGATTTCTTTATTAATATCCAGGTACAACAGAGTCTATCACTCAGAACTTCGTTGTGTGACCATAGATGTTGGTCGTCATGGTGAGTCAATCCAAAAAGCCATGGACTACTGTTGACGTAAAGGCCTATGTAACTATTTTTTATGCATATGAACCTAAATTTAGAAGATGTTAATAGTAAAAACACATCCTGAAACTCAAAATAATTCAACTTTAAATTTTTTTTTTCTTTCCAATGGACTGTCACAATCCTTGGATCCATCAATAAATGATATAGGGATTTTTGACCATTCCTTTTAGTGAATTCTTTTTAGATAGTCCACAGTCTTTGATGTCATTTCTACGTCAATTCAACCACATGTTGAGGTCATTGTCCTGCGGAAAGATTCAATGATGACATATTTTCAGTGTTTTTGGATGGAAGCCACCAGGCATTTCAGAGAATTCCAGGTACCATGCAAGTTTTGCAATATACCAGGACTTTGGAATTAAAATGAGACCCACAGCATCACAGATCCTCCACCATACTTAAGAATGGGCATAAGGTGCATTTTTTGGCTTCTTTATATCTGAAAAACTACATTTCAGAAACAACCTTTAGTTGTCTCTGGACTGTCACAATTCTTGGATCCATCAGTAAACAATATTCACCAAGCCACTTCCGGTGCTCAACAGATGATGAATCAACTCCTTCATGCCTTGATGGTGTCGCTCCTTCTGACTGACCCAACTACTCGGTCAGTCTCATTGACCGTGTAGTTGCAAAACTCCAATATGTTTCTGATTACAGTTGTAAAACATAAAAAGCACTGTGATGGTTTGTCTTCCAAACAACCAGTAGATATTACCTAGTGGTATTACCATGGTTGCTATGGAGATGTCCCAAAATGACCCAAAAATGTCTGTCTTTGCTGTACGTCCCCTACCAGCCGTCCCCCTCTGCTGGAAAGAAAACCATGGCTTCAATCCCATTTACACAATATGTTTTATAATCCCATTACAAAAAAAAGAGACAGTTCCATTAAACTTAATATTGCATAATATTTCATGTAGTTTGAACTTTAAATTGTTGCAATCTGCTTTACCATTTCAATAAAACCTTGCTTCCATCAATGCAGTAACTTTGTCAAATATCTCGTCATGTGTAGAGGCTGTTGTGACCTGCATTGAGACAACCATGATTGTGGAAGTTGCAAAGACCTACATCATCAGACGCAATGAGAAAAATTTGCATTTGAACGACTTTACAGATTCATCCTGCAATTTGGAAAGCCGGTCCAACGACACCCACGTGGTTGCTGTCATGTCACTCGGTGCCTGTGGGACTCGTGTTGAGGTACATAACACAAAATGACAAACGACTCCAATAAAAGATAATAAGAAGCCTAAAAGCATTCAACTGAAAAAGTTACAATATTAAATAACATTTAACACAAAGTTGTGAATGTGCCAATTGTGCAAACAAAATGTCTTTTTGTCCAAAAGGAGAACAAAAGTTCACTTTAATTTCTTCATAAGAAGTATAGCATATTTGCATTGCATAAATAAAAGAAAGTCTTTGTTTGGAATGACTGATTCTGTTTATTTGATATAATTTTTAGGAAGATGACAACAACATCTACTTCAGGAATGAGATCACTTCTGCTGACCCTAATGAAGTCATTTCCAGGCAACATGATGTTGAAATTGCCTTTACCTGCTCCTACCCAAAGCGAACCAACCTGACTCTAGGATTCAGACACAAAAACCCGTACGCCTTTAACGAGAAGGGCTTTGGTGCTTTCACCTTCCAGTTTGAGTTCTTCGAGAGCCAGCGTTTCAGGAAGCAAGTGGATTCCAGCAGCTACCCGGTGGAGGTTTACCTGAAGCAGATGATCTTCATGCAGATCGAAGCCACCTCGTCCATCCCAAACACTGAGCTGTTTGTGGAGTCCTGCAGGGCGACTCCCTACGACAACCCCAACTCCCGCATCAGCTACACCACATATGTCAGAGTCAAGGCCCGCGGGCCACATCCGGCCCGCGAGAAGGTTTTTTACGGCCCCTGGGATGATCTTGATTTATTATTAGAACCGGCCCGCAGACCGCAGCAAGCCGGCACCCCGTCTGAAAAAAAATATCTTCCTTATTTGAACTGTAAGTAGTTCTTTAAATGTTCTGTGAGATGATGTACTTACCCATGTATCCATAACAACCGGAACTTTCAATATCCACCAAGTTATTGCCGAAATATACCGTCTATTAAACGAGTGCCCCCCGGATTAATTACACTCTCTGCAGCTGCAGCTGCGAAGTTACCGTATTAACCCGATACTTGCTGGAAAGTGCAACGTCTCCCCTTTCAGAAACCGTTGGAATTTTTCCACTTAGCGCTACGTGTGGCGGAATTACGGTACTGCAAATTTAGATGTGTCGCCGGCGACTCATCTAAATGCCTTGACTCTGACATATGTGGATTAATAGATTTTTGCACTTTATTTTATTGTATTTCAATCCAATTATATTTTAAAAATATTTCAGTTGTGTCTGTTGAAAATTAAAGATTACTGACAGAGCCATAAGAAAATATTGCTTTATTTATCTGATCATATTGGAATATATTTGTTAGGTTTTCAGTAGGTTCAATTAGGTTCACTAGACTATATGCGTCATTTAAAAAAATTTCAATGAACATTCGATCAGTCCGGCCCTCGGCTTGTAGCTAAATTTTTTATTTGGCCCTCCATCCATTTGACTTTGACACCCCTGAGCTACACCATCATTGAAAACGGGTACTGAAAGAATAGTCTTCCAGTTTAGATCAAATTCTACAAATGGGGCCTGCTTTGCTGTGTGTCTAAAAGATTTTAACCATTTTCCAGGTGTGTGAAGGACAAAACGGTGCAAATCTTCCCCAGCTCCAAGTCGCAGTTCAGGTTTGGCATGGAGGCTTTTGAGTTCATCGGAGCTCACGAGGAGGTAAAGTTCTTTTTTAAAGCTCTTTTCTTTACCAAAAACAAAAAATTATGTTGTAATGTAAACAGCTCAACAGGTTTTATTGCACGTAAATTCAACTTTAATTATTTAAATTGCACAACATTTTGTAAATTAGTGTTTAACAGTTTACAATCAAAAAGATTAAAAAAAAATAGGCTGCATGTGTGTAGACCCTTCAATACAATTTTATTAAAAGGAAAACTTTTTCTTTATTCTTTACAAAGTATAAAAATGTTACTTAGTTCTAAGAAAGCACCACTGAAATACAACAATTCCCCTAATTTTTCAAAACCAATGGCTTCAGCAGTTAAATCAATTCACGCAGAACGTTGCCTCTGCAGTTTATGCACCAGCCACTAGGTGATGTAGATGAGCAGTAAAAAAAAAATCACTGTTATGCACAGTGGCCAACATGGAAATCAAAAAGCT